ACACCCGAGCACTCACATCACCCATAACAGTTTGCCAGTAGCCTGATTTAAGTTGAATAAAGCAAAAAATCAAAAGTTTTAGGGAAATTTAACAGATATGGAAAAGAGACAATTCAAGAGGAGACAGTTTGACAGTGGTCAAGAAGTGAAATACCTAGGGGTATATTTAACATCTAAAAATTTGAATTTGTACAAGGACAACTATGAAAAATGTTGGTCAGAAATTAAAAGAGATCTAGAAATATGGTCCAAATTTGAAATTGTCCAATGTTAGGCCGAATTGCAGTGATCAAAATGAATGTATTGCCTAGAATGTTATTTTTGTTTCAGACCTTGCAGATTCTCGACAAGATGGAATGTTTTAAGAGGTGGCAGAAAGATATTTCGAGATTTGTCTGGCAGGGCAAAAAGCCCAGAATTAAATTCAAAATATTGACAGACGCTAAAGAAAGAGGGGGGTTTGCCCTGCCGGACTTAAAATTGTATTATGAGGCAGCAGCTTTTTGCTGGCTGAAGGAATGGATGCTCCTCGAGAACACAGACATCTTGGATCTGGAAGGTTTTAATAATGTTTTTGGTTGGCATGCATATTTATGGTATGACAAAACTAAGCAGCATAGTGCCTTTAAAAATCATATTGTTAGAAAAGCACTGTTTAATGTATGGATGAGATATAAAGATCTGTTGGAAACAAAACCCCTAGATGGGTGTCGCCAGTCGAGGCTAAAGCAGTAAAGAAACTCAATATGGAGGTCGGATGGCCGAAGTATTGGGAAATTTTGGAACAGGATGGAGACAAGTGGAAATTACAAAGCTATGACAAATTGAAGGATAAAGTACAAAACTGGCTTCAATACTACCAAGTAATGGAGCTTTTCAAACAGGATAGGAAAGTTGGCTTTCAAGTGGATAAATCAAAACTAGAAATTGATCTGTTAGAACCCAACACTAAGAATTTGTCAAGAATGTATAATTTGTTGCTGAAATGGAATACACAGGATGAAACGGTGAAATCAGCCATGATTAAATGGGCACAAGATATTGGTCATGACATTATGTTTGCCGACTGGGAACAGTTATGGACCACCGGTGCTAAGTTTACGGCATGTAATGCCTTAAGAGAAAACATAATGAAAATGATTTACAGGTGGTACATGACCCCAGTCAAGCTGGCAAAAATTTATCATTTGCCCGATAACAAATGTTGGAAGTGTAAAGAGACTGAAGGTACCTTCTACCACCTTTGGTGGACATGCCCGAAGATTAAGGCCTTCTGGGAAATGATCTATAATGAAATCAAAAAGGTACTTAAATGTACCTTCGCGAAAAAACCAGAGGCCTTTCTCTTGGGCATTGTCGGCCAACTGGTGACAAAGAGGGATAGAACTTTCTTTATGTATGCTACAACAGCAGCAAGAATACTCATCGCAAAGTATTGGAAGACCCAAGATCTACCCACTTTGGGAGAATGGCAGATGAAAGTGATGGACTATATGACATTGGCTGAGATGACAGGCAGAATCCGTGACCAACGAAAAGAGACGGTGGAAGAAGAATGGAGGAAATTTAAAAGTTATCTTAAGGACTACTATAAACTTAATGAATGTTAAAATGTTGCGGTTTTTCAGAAATAAAGGATACAGGGATATAAGGTTAGAAATTTAAAAAAAGAACTAAGAAGATAGAGATTGGAAAATAACAATCGGGAGTTGCTAGTGGAACTTTGGACACTGGGATGCAGAGGGGGGGTATGGGGAAGTCAAAGGAAAGAAGTTTATGAAAATATGTTTGAAACTATACGTGTATGTTTGTTATTTTTGGTGTTTGTTTGTTTTTTGTTTAAAAAGTTTCTAAAACCAATAAAAAATTTATAAAAAAAAAAAAAATAGATCTTGTATCTTCCAGTACTTTGCGATGAGTATTCTTGCTGCTGTCGTAGCATACATAAAGAAAATTCTATCTTTCTTTGACACCAATTGGCCGACAATGCCCAAGAGAAAGGCCTCTGGTTTTTTAGGGAAAGTACATTTAAGTACCTTTTTCATTTCATTGTATATCATATCCCAGAAAGCCTTAATCTTCGGGCACGTCCACCAAAGGTGATAGAAAGTACCTTCAATTTCTTTACATTTCCAACACTTATTGTCAGGCAGGTGATAGATTTTTGCTAGCTTGACTGGGGTCATGTACCACCTATAGATCATTTTCATGATATTTTCCTTTAAAGCATTACAGGCCGTAAATTTTATACCGGTATTCCACAACCATTCCCAGTCAGCAAACATAATGTTATGACCAATGTCCTGTGCCCACTTAATCATAGCCGATTTAACTGTTTCCTCTTGCGTATTCCATTTCAGCAGCAGATTGTACATTCTTGACAAGTTCTTAGTATTGGGTTCTAACAATTCAGTTTCTAGTTTTGATTTCTCCACCTGGAAGCCAATTTTCCTATCTTGTTTGTAAACCTCCATTATTTGATAATAATGGAGCCAATCACGTACTTTAGATTTCATTTTCTCATGACTCTGTAATTTCAATTTGTCTCCATCTTGTTCCAAAATTTCCCAATACTTTGGCCATTTGGCCTCCATATTGGGCTTTTTGAATGCCTTGGCCTCCAAGGGTGACAACCATCTAGGGGTTTTATTTTCTAACAAATCTTTATATCTTATCCAAACATTATACAGTGCTTTTCTGACAATATGATTTTTAAAGGCCCTATGCACCTTAATTTTGTCATACCATAAATATGCATGCCAGCCAAATGTATTATTAAAACCTTCCAAGTCCAAAATGTCTGTATTCTCGAGGAGCATCCAGTCTTTCAGCCAGCAAAACGCTGCTGCTTCATAATACAGCTTCAAGTCCGGCAGGGCAAATCCCCCTCTTTCTTTAGCATCTGTCAGAATTTTAAATTTAATTCTGGGCTTTTTGCCCTGCCAGACAAATTTCGAGATGTCTTTCTGCCACCTCTTGAAACAATCCATCTTGTCAAGGATTTGCAAAGTTTGAAACAAAAATAGCATTCTAGGCAATACATTCATCTTGATAACTGCAATTCGGCCTAACATTGATAATTTCAAATTTGACCATATTTCTAAGTCTTTTTTAATTTCTGACCAACATTTTTCATAGTTGTCCTTATACAAGTTCAAATTTTTAGATGTCAAGTGGACCCCTAGATATTTCACCTTCTTAACCACTGTCAAGCCTGTCTCTTCTTGAAATTCCTCCTTCTCCTTAGCTGTTAAATTTTTTTCTATAACTTTAGTTTTTTGTTTATTCAATTTGAATCCGGCTACCTGGCCAAATTGTTAAATTATCTCCAACACCCTTTTCGCACTAGTGTTTGGCTCCTGTAAGGTCAATACTAAGTCATCTGCAAAAGCTCTTAACTTGTAATGTTTATCTCCGACCTGTACACCTTCAACCTGCTGGTCATTTCTAATCATATTTAGCAACACCTCCAGAACCGAGATAAAGAGCAATGGGGAAATTGGGCACCCCTGTCGTGTTCCTTTTTCTATCTTAAGTTCATCAGTTATCACATTATTTACAATCAGCTTAGCTTTTTGTTCAGAGTATATCGCACCCATACCGTTCTCAAATCCTTGGCCTACCCCCATCCCATGAAGATTCTTTTTCATAAAACTCCAAGAAATATTGTCAAAGGCTTTCTCCGCGTCCACAAAAATCAACACTGCTTTGGTGTTTATGTTCACCTCTAGCAATTCCAAAATCTCTATTATATTTCTTACATTGTCTGATAAGTGCCTTTTTGGGAGAAAGCCTGCTTGGTCCTTATGAATCTTCTCCATCAACACTCTTTTAAATCTTTTTGCCAAAATGTCTGCAAAGATTTTGTAATCCACATTAAGTAATGATATTGGGCGGTAGTTCTTAAGTTGAGTCTTTTCAGTCTCTGTCTTTGGTATGAGTGAAATATACGCTTCTTTCCACGATTCTGGTGCCTTTTCCCCCTCCAAGATCTCGTTACAGACTTCCTTTAACGGTTGAACCAACCATTCCTTCAGAGATTTATAATATCTGGAAGTCAGTCCATCTGGCCCTGGAGATTTGCCCAATTGCATGTCCTGAATGGCACCCTCTATCTCTTGTTCTGTTATTCTCTGGTTTAAATCCACCTTACTTTGATGAGAGATTTTTTGTAATCCATATTTATTAAGAAATTTGTCCATATCTTCTTCATTTTGTGGTCCTTGAGAATAAAGTTTTTTAAAGTAGCTCAAGAAACAGTTTCTAATCTCATTAGGTTTGGATATGTTCTTTCCATCCACTTCAAGGCTTGTAACTGTATTTAGTTTCTGCCTTTTCTTCAATTGCCATGCCAGAAGTTTGCCACATTTATCTGCCGATTCGAAGGTTTTTTGTTTCATTTGTTTTATCTTCCATTCAATCTCCTGATTCATCAATTCCATATATTGTGTTTGATATAACTTGATCTCTCTCAGAATCTCCTGGGACTTTGGTTTTGATCTTATTTTTTTCTCTCCTTCTTTTATCTTTTCCAAAATCTTTTCCTTCTTCTCATTCTGCTTTCTCTTTTTTTATTGAGTTTTGTTGAATCAGAAATCCTCGCATCACAGCTTTACTTGCGTCCCAGATCACTCTTTTTTCCACATCAGCCTTTAGATTTATTTCAAAATAGTCCTTTAGGGTTTTTTGGGCCTTCATGTGGATCTCCTTGTCTCGAAACAGGGTGTCATTCATCCTCCATCTAAATTGACCAGTTGTTGTAAGTTTCATTTCCATCTTCACGGCGTTATGGTCGGAGCAAGTTTTTGGGCAGATTTCTACCCTCCTAATCTTTGGAGCCATCCCACTAGTGATCCAAATTTGATCAATTCTAGTCCAGGTAGTCATTGCATGTGAGAAAAAAGTTCCCTCTCTCTCAAGAGGGTTCCTTGTTCTCCATATGTCTATTAAGTCCATATTTTCCGTCATTTCAAAGAAGGTCTTCGGAAGTCTCCCTTCCTTGGAGATTGTCAGTCTTTGTGCCTTGTCCATATTTGTAGAAACTACACCATTCATGTCTCCCATGATTATCATATTGTAATCCAGATAGTCCGTCAGAGTTTCATGGAGTTTCTTGAAGAATTCCGCCTTGCCTTCATTTGGTGCATAGATTCCAACTATTAAGAATTTTTCTCCTTGTACTTGTATTTCAACTGCCAGATATCTTCCTTGCTCGTCTTTAAACATCATTTTTGGGACCCATTTCTCTTTTACATAAATCACAACTCCTCTTTTCTTAACTTTATCCGATGAGATGAATTCTTGTCCTAATCTTTTATTTGTGAGTAATTTCCTGTGTGCTCTGGTTACATGAGTTTCTTGTAAACAAATCACGTCCAATTGTTCTCTTTTCAAAATATGAAACACTTGGCGTCTCTTCAAAGGCATGTTCAGCCCATTACAATTCCAGCTAAGGAATTGCAGGGCCATCTTATTATTTTTCTGTTACTCCTCCAACCGCTCCAAGTTGTTGCTCTTCCTCTGATGGTGCTGGGTTAAGTCCAAACGATAGATTAAGAATGTCTAGTGCTCTCCTTTGTTCTGCAATTGGGTCCACAGTTCCTTTCTGTAAGTCCTCTTGGTTTCTCTCCAGGAATCTTTCTTTGTCTTGTATTGTCTTTATTTTCACCTTCTTTCCCTTGTAGTCAAAAGACAGTCCTTGTGGGAACTCCCACCTAAAAAGGATGGTGTTCTTCTTCAGCAAGTAAACCAAATCCTTATAGAAGGTTCTCAACTCCAAAATATGTTTAGGGATGTCCTTGAAAATCTGTATGGGTGAATTTTCAATTTGCAAAGCCTTTTGGTAATGTCATTTTAATATTTTGTCTCTTTCTTCCTTCGATCTGAGAGTAATCAAACAGTCCCTCGGGGTCTTTCTGTTCTGTCTTCGGCCCAGTCTAAATGCTGTTGTAATCTTAAATTCTTCCTCCTCCAAGTCTTCCCAGAAATCAGCAAACTCTTGTGTTAGAAACTCCGCTAAGTTGTCTCCTTCGCTTTCGGGAATTAATCTTAATTTCAGATTTCTTTCCTTCCTCTGCAATTCCCACAAAGCCAGGGTTGCATCATGTTCATAAACTTTTTTAGCAATCGGTTCCAAGTTCTCTTGAGTCTCTCCAGCAATAGTTCTAGCTTCCTCTGCAATCTTACGTGTTGCAGAATTTTCTTGGACCAGCCTGTTTATAGATTCTGTGTTCAAATCCAATCTTGCTGTTAATTCTGTTAATTTTTGTGTATTTTCTGTACTCTGCTTTGTCAAGGTCTCCAAAGACTGGTTTATCTTGAGTAGCGCTTGTGTCACTGACTCCATGGAGGCAACTGTCACTTTTTCTTGTCCTGCTGTTCCTGTGGGGGTTGCACCAGTAATTGAGCCTCTTTTCTTTTGCTGCTGTTGCTGGTGCTGTTGTTGCTTAGCTTTAGCTCTTGTGGTTATCTCTTCCGCTGGGCCACTCATGTCCCAAGGTCGTTCCCAGGAAACAATCCCCTGATGGAAAATTCCACTATCCTAGGCTATTACAGCCGTTACTTTGGCCCTCTAGGGGGAGCAAACCAAAATGTCCAAGTATGGAGACAAAGAAGTTAAAGAGAAGAATATCAGGAGGCTTGTAAAAATCTGTTACAGCACTTTTTCCAATGGATACTATTTCAGCATACTCCAATATACTGTAACAACAAAGTCCAAGAACTTTGTATCAAACAAAGCTTCAACTATGTAACTTTCCCAGAAGTTTAAAAGCAGTTCAGTGCACTAATGTCTTATTTGGCAGTCCGCTTCAGGGCATTAAAACAGCAGAAGGCTTTTTTCTTTTTTAGATAAAACATGCAGTTCTTAATGTCTCTTTTTCCTTCCCCTCTGCCCTGCTTGCTAGAGGGGAGATCCAGATCCGATGTCAGGTTAAGTAGTCAAAAGATATCTCATACGGATGCAGCTCTGAATTTCCGTTGCTTTAGCTGTCATGCAGTCGGGGGAAGGCAGACTTCCTTAATTTTTACCTTCCCCGTTTTCAGCCAAATTTTCTTTAAAGGAGTCCCAAATTAACGTTCAGTCTTACTTACGGGGTTTTTCAGTTTCAGATTGACAGGAAGGAATCGGCGCTCTCCGTCAATGGCGACGCGGCTTCACCCTGCGGGCTGGGTAGCGACTCTCAGCACCGCGCTCTCCCCGATGCCGTTCCGGAGCCTTTAAAAAGGCTCTTTCTGCAGTAAGGGGGGGGCGCTTCTGGTGCCCACCGAGTCTCCTTGTTCACAGGCTTCAGCACCTGTGATTTTAGGGGTCCCCCGCTTGCCGTAGCGGGTCAGACCCGAACTCGCAGAGCAGTCCTCCTCCGGAGCTCGGAAAGAGGACCGCCATTAACGCTGGCGCCGACCGGAAGTCTCCTCTCCCCTGTGTGAATTCTTTGGTGGGAAGTGAGATGGGCTTTCTGGCAGAAACTCTTTCCACATTTCACACATTGATAGGGTTTCTCACCACTGTGAATTCTTTGGTGAGCCATGAGCTTGGTCCTCTTACCAAAGCTCTTTCCACATTCCAAGCACTGATAAGGTTTCTCCCCTGTGTGAATTCTTTGGTGGGAAGTGAGACTTTGCTTCTGGTTGAAGCTCTTCCCACATTCCAAGCAGTGATATGGTTTCTCCCCTGTGTGAATTCTTTCATGGCAAGTTAGATTGGCCCTTTGGCTGAAACTCTTTCCACAATCCAAGCATTCATAGGGTTTCTCACCACTGTGAGTTCGTCGATGGGCCATGAGCTTGGTCCTCTTACCAAAGCCCTTCCCACATTCCAAGCACTGATAAGGTTTCTCACCACTGTGAATTCTTTGATGGGAAGGGAGACTTTGCTTATGACTGAAGCTCTTTCCACATTCCAAGCACTGATAGGGTTTCTCCCCTGTGTGAATTCTTTGGTGGGAAGTGAGGTTGACTTTCTGGCGGAAACTCTTCCCACATTCCAAGCACTGATAGGGTTTCTTCCCTGTGTGAATTCTTTGGTGGGAAGTGAGGTTGACTTTCTGGCGGAAACTCTTCCCACATTCCAAGCACTGATAGGGTTTCTCCCCTGTGTGAATTCTTTGGTGGGAAGTGAGGCTGACTTTCTGGCGGAAATTCTTTCCACATTCCAAGCACTGATATGGTTTCTCTCCTGTGTGAATTCTTTGGTGGGAAGTGAGATCGGCTCTCTGGCAGAAACTCTTTCCACAATCCAAGCATCGATAGGGTTTCTCCCCAGTATGAATGCTTTGGTGGGAAGTGAGACTTTTCTTCAGACTGAAGCTCTTGCCACATTCCAAGCACTGATAGGATTTTTCACCTGTGTGAATTCTTTGGTGATGAGTGAGATTGACTCTCTGGCAGAAACTCTTTCCACATTCCGAGCACTGATAGGGTTTCTCACCACTGTGAATTCTTTGGTGATGAGTGAGACTTTTCTTCAGACTGAAGCTCTTGCCACATTCCAAGTACTGATAGGGTTTTTCACCTGTGTGAATTCTTTGGTGAGAAGTGAGATTGGCTCTCTGGCAGAAACTCTTTCCACATTCTAAGCACTGATATGGTTTCTCACCACTGTGAATTCTTTGGTGGGAAGTGAGACTTTGCTTCTGGGTGAAGCTCTTTCCACAATTCACACATTGATAGGGTTTCTCCCCAATATGAATTTTTTGGTGGGAAGTAAGACCAGCGCTCACAGTGAAGCTCTTGCCATATTCCAAGCACTGATATGGTTTCTCCCCTGTGTGAATTCTTTGGTGAGAAGTGAGATTGGCTCTCTGTAGGAAACTCTTTCCACATTCTAAGCACTGATATGGTTTCTCACCACTGTGAATTCTTTGATGGGAAGTGAGACTTGCCTTTTGGGTGAAGCCCTTTCCACAATTCACACATTTATATGGTTTCTCCCCAGTATGAATTCTTTGGTGGGAAGTGAGATGGGAGCTCACAGTGAAACTCTTCCCACATTCTGAGCACTGATAGAGTTTTTCACCACTGTGAATCCTTTGATGGACCCTGAGAGTCATCCTGTGATTGAAGCTCCGCCCACATTCCGAGCACTGATAGGGTTTCTCACCTGTATGAATTATTTGATGGGCTGTGAGATGGGTTCTCTGACTGAAACTCTTTCCACACTCTTGGCATTCAAATGGCTTCTCCCCCCTGTGAATTCTCTGATGTTTATGGAAGGTTTTGCTTGCATTAAAGCTTTTCCTACATTCTAAGCACTGATAGGGTTTCTCGCCTGTATGAATTATTTGATGTGAAACGAGATGTGCACTCTTACTGAAGCTCTTTCCACATTCCAAGCATTTCAGTGGGTCCTCCCCTGTGGGAATTATTTCCTGTTAAGTTAGACTTTCATTCCAACAGAATTTTTTTCCCCATTCAGAGAACTGAGAGGGTTTCTTCCCAATAGCATTTCTTTGGTGGGTAGTCGAATGGGAGCTGTGACTGAAGCTCTCTCCACACTCCAAGAGTGGCAATGGCTTCTCCACTGTGTGGATTCTGTCATGGGTGTCCTCGCTCTCAATTTCCAAATCATCACCACCTGCAATGAAGAAATGGATTAGAGCTGCAGGAAGAAATGGAGTGCCACTGTATTGAATATTGATCACTAACCTTTGTGATAGAGGAAGAATTCCATGCATCAACATTGCTGACCACACACTAGAGGTGGTCAGTGTTAGAAACAGAAATAGGACAGCTAGAACATAAAGAGGACCTTAAACCTAGGTTATGGGCTCAAAAATGGAATGTCTAGGTGCACTTTCGTATGACAAAAATACAAAGCTGAAAAGGAATGAACAGCAGCTAAAATAATATGTTCATTTTTCACATGGTCTAGTCCTTCCCCTGCCCACCCCCTGATTTTTTAAGAAGGTCTTGTCACGGGACAGACAGGCAAGGGGAGAACAGAGAGAGAAGTTTTGAGGAAATTGAGCCTGGCAGAGTTTGCATACAATAACACAATGCACGCACCCACAGGTATATCACCACTTGTAGGTTTCAGATCCTCAGAAGACATCGAAAGCGAGACAGATGGGGGGGCTTAGTGGGGGGTGATGTCACGGGACAGACAGCCCTTGGGTCAAGGGATGGGGGAGTATCAGAGCAGGGACAGTCAGACAGGGAAAACAGGGAAATGATGGACGAAGTAGGGGAGAAGAAGGCGGAGAGCAGTCAAGTGGTGTCAGGGCTCTGCAGTACTGGAGAGCCCTGCCACCAACCAGGGAGTTCAGGAAGAGAAGGGGAAGCAGTGCCTTTGGCACAGGCGAGGAGAGAATCAAAGACGTCTTGAGAGATCCCCACATCTGCTGTGTTGGAGAAGGAGCCAAAGGAAGCCACTCCCCGAATCTGACTGGTCAGATTCAGATGCATGATTTTGAACTGTAGCTGTTCGTACATATGTAAATAAAGAACTGTAAATATCTCTCTGAGTGAGCAGAGGGTGTTTATTGCGAAGAGCAGGCACCACCTTGACAGGTCTCTCCTTCAGCCTTCAGAGAGTAGCTGGAGGTGGGGAGGCAGAAAAAGGTCCTCCTTTCCTTCCACTCCGCAGTTTTAATCTGAAATCTTAGGTGCAGTACTGCGCGCAGAGCTCAGAAACTGCTCGTGTCTATGAAATTCCCTGTTGCAAAATGCGCCTATGGGAGTTTCAGACACTGGAGGTGGTGGATGATTTTGTCTCCCTAGGAGGTTCTACCATAACCAACAACCTCTTCATCGATGCTGACCTGGACAAGTGTATTGGCAAGGCAAATGTGTTACTAACTCTTCAATGCCAAGAGGGAGGTCTATCAGGATTGTGTGTTGAGCAAGCGGTTTGTGAAGTGAATTGTGGACAATTACAACCATTAGGGGGGGAAACCCTCAAAGTCTTCCATATGCTCCATATCAGGAAGATTTTGGGCAATAGAAGGCAGGACAGTGTCAACAAAGATGTGTTCTCCTGACCTCAGATTCCCAGCATGTTCCCATTTCATTCTCAGCAAGGTCTATGTTGGCTTCATCATGTCCACGGTCAAAACATGCTGATAGCTCTCCATTTAAGGTCAGTTTGGGGGGTATTAGAATCCCAAATGCTGCAAGTGGCCCTGCAGACCTCCCTCAAAACCAGGGAGGCTTATCAGAGAGAGATATGCATGGAATTTCTAAACAGAGGTCATGATCCACAAGGGAGCCTTACTGAGAGAGGCCACAATTGTGTGATTCTCCTCCATGACTTCCTTATGCAGAGCTCTTTGGTCAGGATCCAGCAACGCCCATTCCTCATCTGTGAAATGAACAGCGACATCTTCAAAGCACACTGGACCCTAAGAAAGAAAGGGAAAGATCCTCTTTAGACAGCACTAAGGTTGTCTGCTACACACTGCTGTTTCTTTCTGCGCATTAAAAGGGGGGAGGAGAAGGTGGGGAAACCCCATTGTGCAACTGATGCGACAAGATAGGTGATTCCTGGGAACTATTTTTGAGGCTTGATGAACTGCTTAGAAGCCTATTTTAGCATTCAATGAGAACTCTAGAAATAAAACTACAATGATTTATGAATCATCCTATTGACCGTCAGAAGGTGAGTTAAGGCAAGGTGGCTGTTCCTTATTCTCAGCACATTAAGCTTCTCGAATGGCATTCCCAGCCTCCTGGCTTCTGTCTAGGCTGCCCTTGACAAAGATGCCTTCAGAGAAGCTTGGACAGAAGCCAAGAGGAGGAGAGAGATTATTTGGGGGCCAGAGGCACCCTGGCTGCCCCACCCCTCAGCCCCCTTCCCCACAGGCCTCCCTCCCTCTACCTGAGCTGCTTCCACAGCCATTGCTTCTCCTTCACCACCAGGAATAGATGGAAGAGGAGGTCTTGCTGGCATCATCTGGTCACCTGCAAGAGACAGAAGTAAGTGGGAAGCCAGGAGTGCAGCTGCTCTCCAAAAAGTCTCACCTTCTGAGTGCATCTGGACATTTGGACCCATTCCATAATTTAGTTGGGTTAAAAAATACATCTCCTTCCTTGGTGCTCTTGGCCCCAAGTGTCTACCCCCCCCCCAAAAAAAAAGAGAGGGAAAAGAACCCATAGATTTGTTTTGATATCCACAGAAAGGGACCAAACGGAGAACGGACTCCTTCCTTACCCAGCAGCCTCTCTCTGGTGTCCAATGGAGTCCTTTTGGTCTCAGAGGAATCTGGGCCCATTTCTGCAATCAGATCCTGCCTCTGAAATAGCAACAAAGATTCAAAACAGAGAATATGAAGAAGAGTTAGAAAAGGAATGACAGAGGCAAAAACTGAAGGGCAATCTGATAGCATTCAATGGCTGCTTTCCAAAAAAGGATGGAGAATTTTCAGATACCCTCACTCACGTTTGGAGCCCCTTGGGAGTATACAGAGGAAAGTCTCTCTCACCTGCTGTTCTGCTTGCTTCCTCTCCTCTGCCTGACTCAGGAGGAAACCTTCGGCCAGGGCCACTGCCTGGGAACTGGTCTCTGCTCCGCATTCCCTCACCCAGCTCTCCATCTCCAGAGGAAGGACAGCCAGGAACTGCTCCAAGATCACCAGGTCCAGCATCTCAGCTTTCGTGTGCCTTTCTGGCTTCAGCCACTGATGGTCAAGGCAGTAGAGTCGGCTGCAAACCTTCCGGGGTCCTTTGGCCTCCTGGTAGCAGAACTGCCTCAATTGCTTGCTCTGCACCTCTGAGTGTCCTCCTCTCCCGGGATCTTCTGCACAGTTTTCCCCCCAGAATCTCCCACTGCTCCCCGTTTCCATGGCCTGGCCTCTTCCTGCTTCAGGGCCAGCTGAGTCTTGCTCATCCATCTGTGCTCTCAGGAAGCCTCCAAGAGAGATGAAGGAATCCCTTGATCTTCTGCCAAGTTCTGTCTGTCCAAATCAGAGGTGCTAGGAAATTCTACAAACCGAATACATTGTTCTGTTACAAAACTGACATATTGCCTGGAGGAGAAAAATGTTCCGTGAGGAAGTATGTATGAGTCTTGGAAGAGCCAGCTCTGGACTGCACCACAACCCAGACTCTGAGGTTTCTATAAAAAGGAGAAGGTGAAGTAAGTCTCCAGCCCTCCTGGAGGGAAAGTGACCATGCAAAATGTGCAGGGAACTGCTGGTCTTTCTGAGAGATGAATCAGCCTGGTTGCTCCTGCCTTTCAGAGTTTTCAATCCAGGAATGAAGCCAGAACTGTGATTGACAAGTGAGTCATTTGTACTGAGTGTTATCTGAGCATTGGGTTATAGTGGGAGTCCTAACCCAGGACTCCTCAAGAGTTGCTCTCCTGCCCAACCCCACTTCAGAGCCCATTTATTTCCTTATCTGGCTAACTTCTGAGGGCCAAATCACATGTGGGTGGGGTCAAAGGTCAGCACTCAAAAGCAAATAAAGTGGAACTCGCCTTTCTATGAGTGTAATGCGTTTTCAACTGTTCTTATTGCTTTTTAAAGAAAATTGTAATCTGCTCTTGGAAATTCAGATGACAGGCAGGGAACAAGCAGAAACGATGATGATGTTACATTGCTTAACACTCCCCCTCCCCAGTCATGAATAATTGAGGGCACTCCTGGGTCCATCATGGTCGCTTGAGGCCCATGTCCAGCTCAGACTAGTTCCCCACCCCACAGACCTTTCGGGACAGAGAGGACATGGCCCTGGTCTTCCCTGCTCTGCGCCAGGTGGGATGGTGGCAACGCTCTCTGTGTGGAACTGCCCTTGAAGGCAACTCCGCTACACATTCACAGCAACAACACAAAGCAATACTACTCAGCTCCTGAGGCCCACAGAGAGACTGGCTACTTTTCTAGGGAGAGTTAAAGGTAGGTAGCCGTGTTGGTCTGCCATAGTCAAAATAAAAAAATTCCTTCCAGTAGCACCTTAAAGACCAACTAAGTTAGTTCTTGGTATGAGCTTTCGTGTGCATGCGCACTTCTTCAGATACACTGAAACAGAAGTTGCCAGATCCTTCTATATAGTGAGAAGGTGGGGAGGGGTATTACTCAGAAGGGTGGTGGGAATGGGTGATTGGCAGATAGCTGAGATGAGCCTGTTGACGACTCTTAACGACTGCAATAGGTCTTACAGGAAAAGGCAAGGGGGAAATGAGTCATCACTCGAGATGAATCCTGAGTTACAGTGACTCAGCAATTAGCTGTTAACAGTTAACAGCCAGCAGGCTTGAAAGATGTAGGCCTTACTGCTCCTGCTCTCAAGAACCTTTGTCTCATGACAGCCTCCTATGGGGGAGACAGAGCAGAGGAGCCCCCCATCACCCTCTCCTCCTTCTCCACAGATCGGTCTCCTCCTCTTTGAACGCCACCTTGATTGTGCTAACGGAGAAATCTGAGGGCTCCCTTGGACAAGAAACAAGGACACCAGCCAGGAATACCAGAGCAAAAGAGCAGCCAGTAGGCTTGGTCTTGATTGAAGTCTGTCACCACAGGACTCCCACCTGCCACCAGGTGAAACAAGATGGAAGCCCCACACAAAAGAGAACCCAAACTTTTATTAGCGGGTGGCGCTAATAAACCACAGAGCCTAGGGCTTGCCGATTGGAAGGTTGGCGGTTCGAATCCCTGTGATGGGGTGAGCTCCCGTTGCTCGGTCCCAGCTCCTGCCAACCCAGCAGTTCAAAAGCATGTCAAGTGCAAGTAGATAAATAGGTACTGCTGTGGTGAGAAGGTAAATAGTGTTTCCGTGCGCTGCTCTGGTTCGCCAGAAGTCGCTTAGTCATGCTGGCCACATGACCCGGAAACTGTCTGCAGACAAATGTTAGCTGCCAATAAAGCGAGATGAGCGCTGCAACCCCAAAGTCGTCCGCAACTGGACCTAACAGTCAGGGGTCCCTTTACCCTTTACCTTTAATCCCCATGTTATGCCCCCCCAGCTACATCACTCATACATCACGGTTACATCATGAAAGGGGAGGTCTGGTGGCAGGAATCTGAGCATCCTGGACCCTGCCCCATGGTTCCCCCTGCCCCCCACCAAACACCCATCAAGTGAAACAAAACAGATACTTACTTTTCCCAGCCAAGTGAATCACACCCTTTTGTCTTCATCTGAGTTTGGTATTTCTACAATGGCTACCTGTCTGGTATTCAGGTATCAGGATGCCAGGGATTATCACTCAGGCAGAGGGGCTGCTGAGGAGCTGAGCTCACATGTCTATGTGGATTTCTGAAGTTTTCCCAGTGAGTCAGTACAGAGACATTTTTCAGTGAATTCTTACATTTGGTATCATGCAGCAGAGGCCCTTTGAACAGAGAGGAAGAAACTGTGATGAAGTGTTTTGTGGGGACAAATCACACAAGTCACAAAAGTGATTATGCTGATTTTGGTAGTGGGCTGCATGTGCATGAGATCTGCTGGAGGGGCAACCCCCCCAACCTATACATCAATTCCTGCAACCACTGGTGGCCTCCCTGCCTCTTGTGGGAGGGAGTTCCACAGGTTTTACTCTGCCCTGCAAGAAGAAGCGCTTTCTCTTCCCTGCCCTCCGTCTTCCTTCCTTGCACAGGTGAGGTTTTAGGTCCGAACGTTTCCATCCACCTACAACCTCAGTTATACAAGGGGACTGATCCATACATCTGAATGGGGTTTATTTGCATGCATTTCCCCACTCCTGGACCCCAGACCCCTCCCCAAGGGGCCAGCAGCGCATCCATGCAAAGGAATAGCCGAGCTGCCACCCTCCTGCGACCCTCCATGCCCTGACTTGCCCCCCTCTCGCCATGCAGCGCTGGGACCCCCGCTCTCCCCATGGGCCCTATGCTGGGAGAGAGGAGACTCACCGGATCCCAGCTGGCGCCCCCAGGCAGCCTCTGCAGAGCCGAACCAACGGGACCCCCACACGCCCGAGTTCTTGCAGGAAAGGGAGGGTTGGGCTTTCGCTCGGGAGGACCCTGCCCCCCTCTTACTTTTCTGTCTAGGAATCTAGCTCGTTTCCGTTTAACCCTTGGCAAGCCGAGCGCACCCAACTCACGCCTCTCCCTCTCCCGAGAGCCGGAGCATCGCGCACCAATGGCATCCCGAGAAGGCGGAGCAGGAGAGGCTTATGGATTACTTCCGGCAAGGGATACATTCAGTTTTGGCCCCCTAACAGCTGGCCCCTGAACACGGGTCCTAAGAAATCTTCACTGGCTCCCGGTCCATTTCCGAGCACCATTCAAAGTGCTGGCGCTGACTTTGAAAGCCCAAATGTCTCAGCCAGTAGAAGGAAGAGCGTCTCCACGTCCATCGC